TAATATGACTTTGGTATTGTCATAGATAGAAGCAGAGAACGTTATACTTCGAGAAGATGACGATTTTTCCGTTCGGCTACTCCATTCTGTTGAGGGGTATTGGTGTAAGAAGTTTGATGGACAATGCCATGGTCAGAAAAATATGATTGGAGACCAGAATAAATGTAATCACCCCTATTATCAGAGCGGAAGCCTTTTATCTTTGAATTGTATTGTGCATGGATCATTTGATGAAAGGACTTAAAAATATAGAAAACTTCACTTTTTTCCTTCATCAGATAAACCCAAGTAACTCGGGAGTAGTCATCAATGAATGTGACAAACCATTTAGCACCTGACAGATTAGTCACACTAGAAGGGCCCCAAACATCACTATGAACAAGAGCAAAAGGAAATGCACTTTTATTAATGCTTAATGGAAAAGGTACCTAATGATGTTTAGCAAGTTCACAAGTTTCACATTGAAACTGAGAAACATCAACAGTAGAAAATAAAGAAGGAAACAATTTTTTTAAATAATAAAATAACGGATCGTCAAACCAAATAGGGGTGGGTGTAGGTGTCGAGCTACAAACTCCCGAAGGCACAAGCCTGCACCAGGCATTGAAACTCGAATTTGAGGCCACAAACAATGAAGTGGAATACGAAGCATTGTTAGCAAGATTAAGACTGGCCAAGGAACTCAGGGTCAAAAGCCTGTGTCTTTAGTGACTCGCAACTGATCGTGAAACCAAGTACCACAGCACCAAAGATAACACAATGGAGGCCTACTGTTCTGCTATCGAGCGAGAAATAAAAGGATTCGAATAGGTTAAACTCAAGCAGATACCCAGGGAAGACAACCTTGAAGCCGATCAGCTCGTTTACAATGCATCCATCTCTGGCGAAACATTAACTAGGCTGATACCAATAGATGTACTACATCAGCCATCCATACTTGTAACGGCATCCAGCTAGAAGTTTGACCAGATACAAGTGTGTGTAATACTGTATGAGCCTACATGGATCGACCCGATCATGTCATATATAAGGGACGGCGTGTTGCCCGAACAAAAAGATGAAGCAAGGAAAGTACGAACCAATGCAGCAAAAATTTCTGAGCTCCACCCTAGCTGACAAAAAGTAAAGAAATACAGGATCCAAGCCCAAAGCAGTCTCGATACCCTCCCAAGTGTGCTCCTGGTCGTCCTCAGGATTGTCTCCACGAGCAGTGGATTCCAGGTCAACCACATTCTGCGAAGAAGCAGAAGTTTGACCATCGGGGATCTGACTGGACGCGACCTCAACTTATGGGGGAGGGACTGCCACAATTGAACTGATAGGATGGGCAACAGAGATAGGAGGAATGATCCCAGAAGCAACAATCTCCTTGCACTCTCTAAAGACAAGCTCAGCCTGATTGAAAGTAGGATCAAAGTAAACCCCCAGAGGATTGATCTGAAGATCACAATCGCAATCATTCGGATCATCATAAGACTTCCCCGTCCTTCGGGAGGGGAGCAATCTGTAAACCCATCCCTATACCTTTGGACATACCTGACTGTTAGAATTAGTAATTATGGTATGAATAGGTTGTGCAGATTTTACAGCTCACTAGATGGGGAGAAAACGTGTATTACAGCTGTGTATATGTCCTATAATTAGAATGTATATTCTGCTAGCTAATATCCCTGATTTATAGGGATTGTATTCTAAGAGTCAATATTCCAGATTTGTTGGCTGTTGTTTGCCTATATATTTTTTCCCTGTACTTTGCTAAATAATATATAGTATTCCCATTATTTCACACTGATGGTCCCAACCCGAGAGAAGCAAGCATGGAGAGCCTTGACACCACCCTCAACCCTGCTCATTGCACCAAGAAGGGCGGTATGATCGTCTAAAGCCTTCTTCTCCATAGCAGACCGGGCAGCCCGCTCATCCTCTAAAGCGCCTTTTAAACTGTTCCTCTCCTTCTTCAGGTCAGAGCGCTTGAGCTCTAACTCTTTCAGCTTCGCCTTGGCCTTCTTCAAGTCAACCTCCGACTTCTTGCTACCAAAGGCCAAGGTGACCACCTTCTGATCGGCCATCTCAATAGCCCTCTGCACAGTGACCATCCTAATCAGAGTCTGCATGGCCAGAAGGGGCATATATTATACTCAAAATGTAAATATAATAAGAAGAAAAAGACCAAGAGAGAAAAAGAAGGCATCAGAACAAAGTTATCTCCATAGCCGAGAGACGAAATCGAGAGAACATTTCCCTCCGAGACAGATCCCTCTGCACTTGAACATCACGAGGGGTCCACATGTGAGAATAATAAGCCAAAGTTGTTGACCCATGCTTGAACATGGTATCATTTGCAGTGACCAAAGAACCGTCTGATTTGATCAACTTGGGGATCCATGGGGCTACAGTAGCAGGACCGGAAATGCCACCAGAAGAAGTCCCAATAGCCCCACCAATCGCACCTGTCTGGACTGTTGTACCAACCTGAACGGCTGGACCGTCCGAGCTATCAACCCTTGGCCTTCGGGCCAATGGAACACCATCCAAATCAGTATCACTGCTCATGCCTCTTCGCCCGTGCTCTTTCCTGAGCAATCTCCTGAGTCTAGGTTGAACCGGTATGGTCTAAGAAGAATGTCCCTTGGAATCTCACACCGGACACGAACAGCATCTAGATCAAGAACAATGGTGTGAACAATGGAATATCTCGCCGGAAAGATCAAAAGGAAGGGATGAAGAAATAGACCAAAAGAAAAAATAAATAAATAAATAAAAATAAATAAAATTCTTGCAAAAACAAAAAAGGAACGGGACTAGCCTCGAGGAATGTAGGATGGAAAGTGCAAAATCGGTAAAGCTCGCCGCCGGGAGGACGACAAACTGGAAATCTCAGGGGCCCACCAGAAAAGAACCTTTGTGAACCAAATACTGTAGTCGGAATGCAGAGGTGAAGGTAGCCAAACGAAGAGGGGCCTGAAGTCCGAACCTGGCTTATGAAGAGGGTCTAACACAAAGAACGAGGAGATGCAGCAGTCAATGCAATGACGAAATTGCGAAGACCAAAGCATGGGAACACAAGACGGTAGTTCGTACTCTCATCCCCACCATTGCATCAAGCCGTCAGCTGCACGAATCCCAATGTCTATTAATTTCGCCCTAATCAAATACAGCAAAATTAGGGGGCAAGTGAAAGGGGCCAAATCAGCCTTGGGCCCCAAAGTAACGGAGAAAGGGCCATCCTAAAGCCAATTGTATTGAAAAAGCCACCAGGCCCAAAAACCCAATAAATAACAAATTGGACTGGCCCAAAAGAAAGGCACGACCCACCAGCCTAGGAACTTGGAGATCACGTTTCCAAGATAGGGAAATGAGAAACAAGTATAAATAGAAAAAGAAGAGTGGAGAGGCGGGGAGTGTTTGGTGTAAGTGAAAAACTTTCCATCAATAAAAAACAAATTTTCTTGTACCTACACTTACTGTTAAGATTAGAACCTAATGTTGGCAAATTTTGGTAACAAAAGTAGGGGTCGGTCTTATTACTTTCTTTTTTAGCTTTTGATTAGATTTCAAAAGTTAGTTTATAACTAACTCAACAGTTAGGGTTCATAATCATACATTATCATTTTCAAGGCACATGAATACACGCTTTAATTTATGAAAAAGACGTTCTGAATGCATGAAGTTGTTTTTGGAATAAATATATTTAAACAGAAAATTTGTATAAAAAAAGTAAGCCTCCTCAATCGATCAATCAATAACATCCAAAAAAATTATATTGAAGTTTAGACTAACTCGATTGAATGCTCAATTGATCAAGCCACATTCCTATTACAATTTGTTTTCCCCATTAATTGACGGCATTTGGTATAATTGCATGAGTTTAGTGGTGTAATCTATGCCCTAAGACTCTCTCTCATTTTAATACCTTAATCCAAGTTTACTTTAGTTCAATTCATTTGCATGTTTTCACATTGAGCTAATCATTAGTTTAATTAAAACAAGCACTATCTTTTCAATCTCACGTTCATTGATGTTAAATTAAATTCCAAGCCAATAATCCCATTGGACGAGCCCTACTCACTGTATTAGTGTATAGTTGTTTAGTGGCTTTACAAATTTAAAAGTTGATGTCCCATTTGCCACCTATAAACACCTATTTTGATTGACAAACTTGGGTCGCATCAACCCTTTCCTATTAACATTACAACTAAGAAACCCTAATTCTTTTGGACCCAAAGCGCTATATAAAGTACTATAGGATCTCACAAACGTACAGAGAAATCTCTACACATAACTGAGAGATCATATATTTTAGAGAATATTTTTGTTTTCATGATCTAGTCTGCAAGTTATTATTCAGTGTGTTGATCATCTTCTTGTGGAGCTTACATTGTCATCCACACACAAGTGATTCTACACAGCAAAGACACAACCAGGATGACAAGTGGCTTAGACTAAATCACTATTGGAAGCAGATTCATAAGGAGCAAAGTCTACCGACGAGTAAATAGCGTGCCTGGGAGTGGTGGATTGATCCGTGCCGAGGAGGTAACTATAGATTTTTGGGTTTGGGGAACTTTCTCATAGTGGATTCAGTTTTTCTGAATTAAGTTCCGTGATTTTGTCCCATTTGGATTTTCCACATTAAAATTGCGCCTTAATGTGTCATGTTGCATTTCAAATATAATTATTGTAACTTAAGAGGCAATTATTGTTAATCTATTCAGCAATCTAAATCAATATTGGGCATCCTGTAATCTGACGTATCAGAGCCTTGGGTAACAGTCCTACAATTTTTTATCATTACACATAAGTAATATAAATTGCAAAAGATTATTAAGGCAAAAAAAATTGGAGTTACAGCTAATTGAAATTAACCATTTCTTAGGAAACATTCTTACCATAAATAAACAACATAAAGGAACCCTCATAATACTTGCATTGGATAATGAGCTAGTAGAATTTAAATTAGAGGCATTAATATAAAGTTTGTCATTGAAACCAGATTGTACCTGATATGCTAGCATTGTACGCTGAGCATCTGGAGTTGTGAGAACTATAACTGTTCCCGTTGTCCTATCCTTGACTGGCGTAGAGAGAAAATTCACATTTGCTCGACAAAGTTTCGATCTGCATTTCACATTAAGAACTTATGATATTAAAAGCCCTTGTTAGACATATCAAATCAATCTAATATTTTTATTTGATTTTTTTTCCTTTTTTGGGTTAGTATACAAAAAACATATATAGTTCCAATTAACCCAACTGTATAAACAAAACAAACGAAAAAAGAATATAAAACAACAAAAGTATCAGCCATAACAAAGGAGCACTACCTGTAGAACCCACCCAATGGATCGCTTCCAACACTGCCTGCCATAGCTACATTCAAGGCAGGGCCTCCAATGGCCTGACCACCAAGCCTTGCCAATGCCACCAGGCTGTTAGAAAGAGATCCACCTGCAGCTGCCTTGTAGCTGCATCCATCCATTGCCCGCAAAACTCTACCTCTCTCCTCGTGATTAACAACCTTCCTTGTTCCCTTTGCTATTCCCAGTCTCTCTAAGAATTCATCATCAACCATGCCAGAAAAATCTACCTACCATTTTAAAAAATTTAAAAAGAAGGAAAACACTTCCTTTCATAATTGACTACAAAACCATGTAAAAAAAAAAGGAATATATGTGTATGTATACAATATCCACAAGGTCTTTTAACAATAGAAATAAGTCCATCTGCAATGAAGAATATAAGTGACACTAAGGCCTAGTTTGGTGTGATGGAATGGAGGTGGAATGGAATGACCATTCCACTTTCTCATTCCTTTCTCTTGTTTGGTGTGCCATATTAAAGGTGGAATGAGCATTCCAAGTCATTCCCTAGGAATGCCCATTCCAACAAAACCATTCCTCTTTATGAAGGATGGAATGCCCAGTCCATTCCCAATAATCCCAACTAAAGTTAAAATAAAATAATTAAAGACAAAAAAATCCTTCTACCCTAAACAACTCTCACACATCACGCTGGAAACCTAGAAATCTTCCATGGCCTCATTCTGCTTCTCTACTCTCTCTGTATATCATTCCCAAATATTTACTTTCTCTATCTATATCACGTCGTCTATCTCTGCCTCTAGTTTCTCTCTCTATATCACTTCTCTCTATATCTGACTCTATACTCTGTATCTATATCTCATGCCCATATCTCACTTCTCTCTCTCTCAATCTGCCGCTCATCGTTCCTCTTCCGTTTAAACTCTCTCTATAACAGATGTCCATACCAGATTGACAAGCTCCGGCGAAGAGGCCATCACTGCCGGCACCGGAGGCAGGTGGTTGGGCTGTCATATCTGGTGGTGGGTGGATTTAATGTTGATGAAGGTGATTGTGAAGCCCGTTGATGCAAGCATAGTGACTAGATGAACGATTGGAATTACCCTGAGATTGTATGGGGTATTAGATTATGTTATGACTGAAATTTTGTTTAACAATTATTGTAATGAAATCAATCTGGCGAGTTTAGACGGCAAGGACAAGGTCTGTGTGATAGGAAAAATTTAGATTGATGTATACTTTTTCCAATTTCTGTTTGGTGTGTATATGTATATGTGTATGTGTGTGAGAATATATATATATATATATATATATATCTTTTTCAATAGGAATTTGGTTGATAGTTTTCTGCATATTTGATTTTCAATTTCTGTTTACCGGATAGGCACTAGTTCTCAGTTCTGTACTTGATCTTCAATTTCTGTTTGGTTGATATATATATATATATATATATATATATATATATATATATTTCAATATGCATTTGGTTAAATTTAATAGTTTTCTGGAAAATGTTGCAAAAAAAAATTGAGCTACAATTTTTTTCTTAAATAATTATAGTTTGTAATTGTTTAAGACTTATTTTTTGTTTTCATTTTTTCCCCTTTTTGAGTTGATTTTTGTTAGACTAATGTGAGTCATAAGTTACAGGGGTATTTTTGGAAAAATTCATTATATTCTAGGATTTAAGATGGTTTAATCAAACATTGGAATGGTAATAAACATTCCATTACAGCATCATAACCAAACAGTGGAATGAGAATTACGATTCCATTCCATTCTTATTCTCATTCCATTCCATTCCATTCTTGCGCACCAAACTAGGCCTAAATAGTACTACAAGTTCCTAATTAGTGCCAATGTCATACGAATCACCAATATTAGAAAATATATAATCTTGTGTTTAAGTGTGAAATTAAAATGACCCATATTATATTCCAACATAACAAACATCTTGCTTCGAGTGTGAAATCAAAATGACCCATATTCCAACATATTAAACATCTTGCTTTCAGTGTGAAATCAAAATGACCTATCTTTTATTCCAACATATTACAACAATAACAACCTCAAGAAAGGAACGCGGAGGGGAAACGCGAATAGAATCGATGGAATCAGTATGGCAAAGAAATATAAGATTACTGTATAAGTGGTATAAGTAGTAATACGCTGTATAATTTTGTTGTGATTGATTTCCATTTCATTTCTTTATTGTTGAAGAATCAATTTTATTAGATAGATAGTTAATTGGGGATAAAAATATATATATTAAAAAAAGCAAAACAATTACCATAGCTTGGCCAAGACCCAAAACGTCCCATCTCTCAGGCAAAACTCTATCATCTCTCTCTACCATTACTTCTTCCTCTTCGTCGTCTGTATCGGCATCAGCGTCGTCTTCTTCACCTCCAGTCTCGAATCCATCACCAACGCGGTCCTCCCTTCCGCCATGAAAGCTAGAGGAAGAAGAAGAAGAGGAGAATAGCCTAGAAACCCCAGACACAGCGTCATTGGCTATCGACATGGAAGAGATGGGTCTGCAATAGCAGTAGTGGTTTGAAGCAGTGCCATGAGAAATTGGTCTGCTTTGGTTCTTAATAATAGGGGATGATGATGATGGGTAGGAGAGGAGCGAGAAAAGAGGGTGAGAGAAAGTAGGAGTAGGAACGATAGTGGATAAGGAAGAGGTGAGAGAAAGATGAGAGAGGTGAGAGAAAGACATGGTTTTGGTAGTATGTATGAATGTGTTTGGATTTGTTTGAGTTTAGAAAGCCCTAGAATAGTCTGGCGATGGAGAACCACGTATCTCCATCCAACTCCACTACCCTGTGTAATTTGTTGGGTGGAGACGAGGCTGTCTCTTACTCTCTCCCTCTATATACCCCGGCCGGCTACGGTATTGTTTTGGAGAACCTAATTTTACTATGCCAAAAATGCCCTGTCAATTAAAAACTTGGAATCGCTTGTAGCAATGGTCATTTATTCCAATCAGATCTAAATGAAAAATTAATCGAGTATAAATGGGTAAGTATGGCCCAACACTTTAAACTTTTAGATAAATGGACAAGCGTTTACTCATTACAGTTGGTATTAGAGCCAAACACAGTCCTTAATTCGATGTCACTGCAAGCACTCGGCCGAGAGAGCATCCGAGTTTGCAACCCGAGTAAACAGGATGGCCCAAACTGCAACGAGAGTTTTGCGAGTTTGGGTGGGAGAGAATGTAATAAGGGTCATTTGTGTCACAACAAATCCAGATGCGAAAGTAATTAGGTATAAATTGGTGGGTATGCAGTATTACCCAACGGCTTAAACTTTTGAATAAATAGGCAAGCGTTCACCCGTTACACTTATCTATGTTGAAGCCGGGGTAAAAGTAGACAACAGCCGTCTCCAATTTTTTATTTTTTTATTTTTAATTACTCCAAAAGTATATGATAGGAAATGAGAGTGAAGGTATAAGGATGAAAAATCAAGTTCTAAATATGTATTTGGTTATCATGAAAAAAATTTAAGAGGGTTGTAAAAAATACTATCTTATTTAGTTTAAATAGCATGAAAGTGAAAGAGAGTAATTCTACTTACCAACATTTGCACGTCTCTTGAGAGCCTAAAAAATATAATATTGCAGATATTAATGTTTTCTTTTTTTCTTTTATTTTTAAGCCTCCCAACTAATTTTTTTAATTACTAATCACCCTTTATGCTTATCCACTGCTAGTAGATTATATGTGTGTGCGCGCGCGCGCAAGAAAAATAGTGGGTATTCTATTTTGTTGAAAAATGAACATTGTTTCGCAAAAACCTTAATTAACAACTCACCAAGAAAAAGACAATTATATAAAAACAAATACAAATAATTAAGTTGTTGGGTAAAAGATGAACTTCACATCACGCGAAATATTTTCGCATGTTTTGTGCCGAAAAGTTTTGAGAAAAAATAGCCAGGTGCAAAAACTAAATTTTTCTGAATGTTTCTTTCTTCCATCCAAACTCAAGAAAAGTTTAAAAAAATTTCTCTTTAATTTCTTTTCTAGTTGATTCCATCTAACCAAATAAAGTCTAAAGCATTATACAAACTTGCTTCTTCAATAAAAAATGACACTACTTCCAAAGGTTATGGCATAGTGGTACTTCTTTGCGTTTCAAATTAGAAGGTTGGGAACTTAAGTCCCCAATGAGGAAAAATAGGTGTGTTTCTTGCTAATAATAAAAATTAGTCGAGGTTACTACTATAGCATGTACTCTACGAAGCAAGCACTTCTCCTAATGGTGCTATAAAGGTATTAGACACACAAGCACTTCTCTTAAATAAGGCTAACTCGGGCTCGGCTCAGACTCATTCATTTAGTAAATGAGCCGAGCTTAAGCTCGATTTTCAAGCTCGTCTAGTAAATGAGCCGGGCATGAGCGTTGCTCAAGTTCGGCTAGTTAGGCTCATGAACAAGCTCGTTAACATAAAGGCATATTTGTATTGCCATTTTATATTTTAAAAGTTTAGCCCATATGAGAATGAACTTGGCCCAACTCATTAAATTGTATTAATAAGGCCCAAAGAGTTTAATATATTAGCCTAGGATTCATCTCAATCATTACATTTCATGACAGCCGTTGATTTTCCAATGTTAAGGGATAGAGAATTAACCCTAGAAGGCTAGAACTAGAAGTCAACAACGGCAGCCTCTTTAACTCCACCGCATGATTCTACCGGCAACCTACCATAACATAAATCTTTCTTTCTCTCTCTAATGGATCAACTCCATTGCATGAATTTGCCAAAAGACTTCCACAACACAGCTCTCTCTATCTTTCTCTCTCTAATGAATCTTAAAATCAAGTGGTGCAAAATATTTGTAGATCACAAAACCAGGTTTGATTTCATTTTCAATTTTTTCTTTTTTTTTTTTTCATCTTCAAATTTTGTTCTTGATTGAGTGATAAAACTTGAACATGTGTTCTGTATTATTTTTTTTTCTTGTTAAAGATGGAGATCATAGTTTGATTAGGTGATCTATAACCGAGCCCGAGCTTGTAGAAACTTTAATGAGCTTGTGGTCTAGCGGAGCTCAAGCTCGGCTAGACCGATCTCACCCGAGCCCGAGCACCTGTGTGAAGATGAAGAGCTAAGCCCGAGCAATCCGAAGCTCGGCTCCGCTCAGTTCATTTGCAGCCCTATTCTTAAAGGTGCTACAAAGGTATCAGACACGCATGGTGTTTGAAAAATAAATTACTTGTTTTTTCCTTCAACCAAGGAATGATGCAGAGGTTCCATGATTCGTTGGGTAAAGAGCGGGGTTAACTATAAAGAACATGATGAGATCAAAAGGGTATGCTTTGGACACATGTCAAATTCAAATTGGGAGGTATGGAAGGATTATTATAGGAATTAATTACCAGCAAAATTGTTAACTTAGAAATTTTGTAAACAAAGAGACTTTGGAACATTTGGGATGTTGGGTTTATGGCTCAAAATTTGTTTGCGAAAATTAGTTTCCTTTATCTTTGGGATACTTCTATTTTAGAGTTATGACTGATCTGGTTCTTGTAGTCAAGTTGTCAAATTCTTGTCCAATGAGGAATTGGGTTTGAAGTCTCTATAAATAGAGATTGTTTGGGTAGAGAGAAAGGAGAGAGAGAGAAATAATTATAAAGTGAAAAAGTGAGTTGAGTTTGTGAGAGAAGAGAAAGTGTGTAATCAAGTTTGGAAGTAAAGATAGTCGTTCTTCGCCCGTGAACATAAGCAATTTGCAGAATTAAGTAAATCTCGTTCTATTTGTGTGTGTACTTTTATTTGTTCTATTTTCTAATAGTGTGTGTGCGATCTTAACAACTGGTATCTGAGTTACGGCAACAACTATAACAGATGGAAAGTATATGGTTGAGAAGTTTGATAAAAGAAGAAACTTATGTCTTTAGCAAGTTCGGTTGTGGGATTTATTAATTCAACATGGTCTAGGCGAGGCTTTAGGTATGAAACCAAAAAAGATGGAAGATACAGATTGAGGGAAGATCAACTCGAAGGCCATGAGTGCAATTCAATTTACGTTGGAGGATGATGTTATCAATAATAAAAGAAAATTCAGTAGCTAACATGTGGAAGAAGGTGGAGAATTTGTATATAGGAAATAATCTCACCAATCTATTAGTCTTAAAGCAATAATTGTATTTCTTTCGAAGAAAAGAAGGTGTAAGCTTGCAAGAACATCTTGGTGAGTTCAATAATTTTATTTGTGGTTTATCTAACATTGGTGAGTAGTGGTGAGGATAAAAACAATTGTTCTTTTAGCATTGGTAAACTCTACCCATAAGTATTTATTCAATACTTTACTTTATGGGAGAGATACCATCTTAGTGGAACAAGCTAAGAGTGCTTTATTCTCTAATAAAAAGTTAAAAGATGAAGAGAGTTGTGATGCTCAGGCATAAGTTCTTATTGCTCAAGAGCAGAAGAGATTTGGAGCTTCAAGAAACCTTATGTCATTGTTAAAATAATAATAATAATAATAATAATAATAATAATAATAATAAAAGACGCTACAAGTGTGCGAGAAGGGGCATATAGTTTGGAGCTTTCTGCGTTCATGCTAGGGCGTCGATAAACTAGGCGATGTTTAAGGACATGCTAGGACCACTTGATGAACCAAGAGGGGGGGGGGGTGAATTGGTTCTTGTATATACTTTTATTCTTTGTTTGATCAATACAATGTGACAAAGATTATGACAGATTCAACAAGCTTACACACACTTATAAGTACTCAATGCATTTATAAGATAAACCCTTTTAATGGGAAAAACCTGATCGGTTGGTCAATTAACATCAACCTTCGCAATAGCACGAATCATTGTAAAATAGGGCTATTGGTCGGGTAAGTCGAACCACTGGGACTGCGCTAGTCTTACGGCAACCTTAGTGTTTAGAATCTTTCTAGAATGATGAAGGGTTTATAAAGGTTTTGTTGTTTGTCACTTAAGCTAAGAATATTGAAATTGTATAAATTAGAAACTTGCAAGAATTAAAAAGAGATGAAATAAAAGTAGAGAAAAACTAGGGAAATGAATCCGCTCCAACCCTATACACATTCTAGATTGAGATTAAATTGGGAAAATCAACATAAATGATGGTCATGACACATAACAACCCTTGGTTGCTATACTATCCTCAAGAGGTTCATTAAATCAAAAACAAGAATAATCCATCAAAGATTCACATGCTTGAACTACCTAAACTAGGGTGTAGTCTTCAACATGCTCCCTAAGCCAAAGATTATCAAGCCCTTAATTAAATGACGAGAGCACACAAAGTTAAGAATCAAGTATAAACCATCAAAGGGCATCCTAAGCAATGATTTATCAAAGTTCTCAAACTCCATGCCATTAAAACCATTCTATGATCTAACTTCCATTGTCACTATGGAAATGCAAGCAATATGATTAGGAAGAGAAACTATCTAAGACAAGATGAATAGCTCAAAATAATCATGTATAGACATTAGAATTCATTACAACACATATGATGCTCTAGATCATAAAATCACCAACAATAATACATTGAAATCCCAAAAGTAAAATCTACACTAGAACATGCTTACAAGGGAGGGGCTTCATCACCTCCCTAGAGAAGATTTAGTTACCCATAGGAGCAATGGAAGAAGGAAGAAGCTTGAAGACCTCCTCCATTTTCGTGCTCCCTTCTTCAAGCTTGAAGAACTCTATCTCCTTGCTCTCTTCTCCCCCCAAAATCTGATCAAAACTTGCTTAATGATATGTGTGGTCTTGCTTCCCTTCTCTTGTATAGATAAGGCTCTAAAAACCCCCACCAACCAACATCTCCAACCAACCATTAAAGAGGGAAATTAGAATTGAGGAAC